ACAAAAGTGATTTTATGTCCATAGAAAGCACATTAAATGTAAGTAAAGTGTCTACTTTTAAGGTTTCACATAAGTTTTTGGAGAATAAAATTTCTAAATTTGGTTGAAATAATGTTACATTGTCATTCAGTGTAACACAATATTTATGTAAAAATTCAAACAACATGCTTATTCTGACTTGTGCATATTAAAATATATATAAAAGAATAAGGGAGCATATTAAATTTTATTGTGTTTTAAATGAGTTAAAAATTCTTACTGACAAATGGGCAAAACCTAGGATAGTGGCACATTTTAAAAATGTAAAATTACAACTACTTAGTGTTTGGGGTGAGAGTAATTAGTCTTTTAAAATGTCATAAATTTACTTTTGTTGTAAATATGCCTGACAAGATTGTTACACTGAATTAATTTTAGTGGGTCTCTTCTGTCTCTTAGTGGCTTCTCTTCTGTGAGACAAGACCACAGAAGCCATTTGAGTCCTCTGCACAATGTGACTTTGCTGCAGCCTGAAATTGAACTGCTGGTTTGGTCTGGTCAGAGGAGAACTGACCCCCGACTGAGCCTGGTTTCTCCCAAGGTTTTTTCTCCATTCTGTCACCGATGGAGTTTTGGTTCCTTGCCGCTGTCGCCTCTGGCTTGCTTAGTTGGGGACACTTAAATTCCAGCGATATCATTGACTTGATTGCACAGATACTATTTAAACTGAACTGAGCTGAATGAAGACATCACTGAATTCAATGATGAACTGCCTTTAACTGAAAAATGAGTGTTTACTATTGTCACTTTGCATTATTGACACACTATTTTCCTAATTAATGCTGTTCAGTTGCTTTGACACAATCTGTAGTGTTAAAAGCGCTATATAAATAAAGGTGACTTGACTTGACTTGTAAATCAGGGGAAATGTATATTTATTTTTTGCTCAGAAAAACAAAAACAAAATTGCAATTAAATTAAACAGAAAATGTTTAATGTTTTTTGAGAAAACAACAATTTAAAGCAGTATTACACTTATTGTTTTTATGCTTAAACCCTTTTTCGTCTTTGACCCTTATAAGTGTTACAACTACAGTAACTTAAGTTTTAATTGAAGCAATAAAATTGCTAAATCTAAAATAAAATCTAAATATTTTTAAAAAGACAAAAAAAAGCACATAAAATGAACAAAAATAAAAGCTAATTATATTAATACATACCATAATAGTATTTATAGCAACTATTAATAATTTTCAAAATAATTGTTTGCATTCAAAATTAAATTTTTTTTATTGCTGTAATGTATTTTTCACTTTAAAGAAAATTATTTAAAAAAAAACTGCACAATTTATTTATTTTTATTTTAACTTAAATTAAAATAAAAAAATAAAAAAAAATGTGTTAACGGAAATAAAGCTCAAATAAAAGAAAATATAAATATTGGATGTTATTTCAAATGAAAATTAGAAATGTTTCCTTTACAACTAACTTATTAAAATGACAAACACACAACAAAATTAAAAAGAAAAGAGAAAATATACAAATACGTCTAACTTAAAATATCAATAAAACTAAAACTGAATCGAAAACAGAAAAAAAAAAAAAAAAAAAAAAAAATATATATATATATATATATAAATAATATGCACATGACAAGATGACAAACTTAAAACGAAAACAGAAAATATAAAAATGAAAGCAAATTTAATATAAGCCCTATAATAGTATTCTAGTTATTAATCATTTTCAAAATTATTAAAATTTTTATTAAATTTTTTAAAAGTTTGCTAACGGAAATAAAGCTGAAATAAAAGAAAATATAAATATTGGATGGAATTTTAAATGAAAATTGGAAATGTTTCCTTGATATATATAGTATATATAATAAGCACATGACAAGATGACAAACTTAAAACGAAAAATATAAAAACGAAAGCTAAATTAATATAAGCCCTATAATAGTAATTGTTGTAGTTATTAATCCTTTTCAAAATAATTGCTTGCATTTTAAAGCTAAAACTGAAGTTTTTGGCTTTGCAAGTATGTTTTCTCATTTGTAACTCTTGGTAAAACAACAACAATCAAACGATCTACTTTATTACTTCTGGTTCATTTGTCATTTATACCACACATTTTGGCTAAAGTAGTAGTTTATCTGAATACTGAGGAGAATGAGCAACCATATGCACATGATATTTCATGTAGCGAGTTATATTTTGTAATATGCCATTATAAACACATTTTGAAAAAGTTGTGAATGCTTGTGTTGAGCTGTCTTTGCATAGATGCGTCTCTTCAATTCAGACTACTGTGAATCTCAACTGAAGTTTATAATAATCTGTGTTTGCACTGCCTCCTGGTGGAGCAATCATGACATGACCAGCACAGTAGAAATAATGTGAGCAAGACCACATTCTTGATTAAAGTATTTAATGAATACAAAAAAGGAAATTATCATTTAAAGTTCAGTGCATATAAATTACAAATGTGCCCAAAACACTTTCATACTCAAAACGATTCATAAACGAAAACATGGGATTACACTGCAGATAGATCTAACATATGATTAACCACTAAATGTGAGGAAAATATCCAAAAATGACACTTTAAAGAAACTGCCTTGTGTTTGTGTCTGTAACATACGAACCGATGACCTTTATAACTCACTTTATCAGTAAAATATTACACTCGTAATTTGATGTTTTCGTTTGTATTCAAAGATCTGTGATTGTTACAAGAAAAATCATGTTTGGAATAAAATTAACACCGAACTATGAAACTGCAAACTATGAACAGACATCAAAGATCTGTGATTGTTACAAGAAAAATCATGTTTGGAATAAAATTAACACCTCTTTCTTTATATGAACTATGAAACTGCAAACTATGAACAGACGGAGAGTGCAGTGATCGGGACGACTGTGCAAGCAAACACAGGAGTGAACGCGATCAATAAAAGACCAGAGAGCTGAAGATCAGCAGGTTTCACTCCACGTCATCTTCCTCCAGACTCGGAGAACTCGCTATGCGCTGTGAACAGGGACAATGATCACCGTTAAAGGAGCAGTTCACCCAAAAATAAACATTTGCTGAAAATCTGCTCCCCCTCAGATCATCCCAGATGTAGATGAGTTTGTCTCTTCAGCAGATTTGGAGAAATGCAGCATTGCATCA